AAAAAAAAAAAAAAAAAAAAAAAATCAAGCCTAACGTTGGCAGATAGCTTGAATATTGTTAAACAGTTTCTAAAAAACAGCATTTCAGAATAAGTGGCTACTGTTGATATTGTAAGATTCACTAATGTCAGGAACCTTTCTCAAACGTGTTGTCTCAGCTGCTACACTTTCTCAATCAAGCGACAAGTCTAGTTCAAGGTACGGAAGAAATCTTTCATTATAAAAGATTTAATGTGTTTGTACGAAACTCAGTTACTCAAACTTTTTTTCTCTCAGAAAACCGTCTGTTAAGAGCAATAATGACTGTTATTTTGTTTGAATAACTTGGAAAGAGGTTTGGTGATATTATATATACATTCATTAAAAGCAGTACCTGTCAAGTTTATCAATTGAAAAAGTGTCAAAAGTAAAAATTTATTCTTTTACTTTTTTCAGTTTGACAAACGAATTGTTTAGTTTTACGTTAGACAACGTAAGTTTTCAACTTCGTTAAATTTTTGTAGTTCTCTAAATGTAATGGTTGACTTATCGCTGTAATAGTGGAAAACATTTTAAGAGCTAAATACTATGGTTTATGTTGTTTAATAATTGCTAGCGATTGTCTCAAAGACTGTATCTTATTTCCATTTTCTAAAGAGATATAAGTCTTCATTTATTTTGTAATAGGTCTTTCTTACCAGATATTGAGACAATAGGATTTTTTACGATAAAAATGCTTCTTTCAAACTCAAACAATTTTGATAAACTTTTTAAGTCGTTGCAGTTTTAGAAGTTTTTTGCGCAAGCAAATCGCCTGGAACACTTTTGGAACTTTTTATAAATTTTCAATTGGTCCTTATATATGGTTTTTAGAAGCTCTAAATACTATAATGCGTTCAGATTAACGGGCCAGATGATATTTTGAATATTCCTCATAATCTTCATCATTTTCAATTTTTGTATGAAGCAAGCAGAATTCGTTGTAATGGTTAACACCAAGTTTATCACAATTTCATTGCTTTTTAACGACAATCATTAGTACTACATTTGTGTTCTGTAATCGGTTTCATATATCATAATGCATTTCGTCATTTTGCCGTGTATTGATACGGTTGCAAACATTCCCTTTGGTGCCAAAACAGAACCGCAAATGTTTGAAATCCGACCTAGTCGTGCTTTGGATAGCGACAGCTGTAAGCATACCAATTTCCGAAATTTTATGAGGTCTCCTTGTACGCGCGTAAATTTACTGCTACTTCACTAATCAACTTATAAATAGAGTATTTTAAAGACAGCAGGTACTTTTTAATCTTTAGGTAGGCAGTAGCTGCCAGAAACAATTTTTACTTATAGCTGATTTTCACTAGAACGTGTACTTTTTGGGTTTTCATCTCTTATACTTCTTACGTTTATGCTAAAGATTCTGAATGGAGTTGCAAGAACTGCTCATCTCTTGAAAAATTTTCAGACTAGTGCCTAGTGATCACATTTGGCTTGTACATACTTATTCCGCTTAACTTACAACCATTGTTTGTTTTATATTGTAGAACTTGGGGGCCTGCTTAGTCTAAACTTTTTAAAGCTGTATTAATTGAAAAAAGTTTTGGAATGATATAATTAAGAGTCTTCTAATAAATTTCTTAGTTTTAGTCAGAAACCGGAAATACATTTCTTATATCTGTCGCTACTAATACTATCTTTTAGAGATGATTATTAGCATTGAAAGAAGAAACTGGTGTCATCGCAATTTACGGTGCAATTTTACAACTTTTCCTCTGAAATTTCTGCTTTTTAATTTTTGATTTCACTGCACTCGTTTTGCACAGTTCTGAAATAATTTGCATTCTTCTGAACTTTTCTAGGCTCTGCTGTTAAAATACATCTTTTCACTTGCTGGACTTTTCAACGCCATTTTTTGGAACACACGCTAGGTTTAGCTGTGTGTTACTGTATTGCATGTGCAGGATTTTGAGTCAGTTCCAACCGGAATTTTTCAATCGTAAATAAAGCCAAATCTGTCACTGCAAATTTGTATATTTATGCAGAGCGTTTTTGGTACAATATTCGTAGAATATAAAAGCTGGTTTCTTTCTTTAAAAATGACTCGGTTTCTTCATCTTTCCACCTTCCGAGCAGCGTAAATTATATTTATGCAAATCGGACATATCGGCTAATTGTGACTGTTCGCAGAATATGAAGGAGTACATCTTTTCCCCTGTGTGAAAGTCGTCGAGCAAAATACTTTTTGTGGCTTGAAAAAAGCAACTGAAATAAGCTAACAGCTCAGAACCATCAATAGTTTAAAAAGAGGACAGATCTGTTTGAGAATCATCAACAAGGAAGGCTTGCAATGCGCTTATGCCAGTCCGAGTAGAAGGTTTTCTAAGTACCGTTTAGGCTTAATAGCTCTCCTTAACGTTGCATTAAAAAATTAGAAAAAATTGAACTTTTTTCAAAGTCGTTAATTTTGAAAAGAGATAACCTAACCTATCTTCTCTATTTTACATCTTCCGCCTGTTTTTACATTCTTTTGCCACTCTGAAAATCCATTCAGTCGATGGAAGGAAGTTACACTATCGACTAAGATCTGTCTTTTTATGTTACTAATCATAACTGTCTGTCGTTTAAGTTCACTGCCTTTTGATGTCAACTAATCAGTTCAAAACACATACTACGGAAGCACTGGTGGAGCACTAGCAAAAGAAAAAAGTAGGGCCATAGAGGTTATGAATGAACCAAATAAGAATCGTTTTGACACTCAATAGACTGACACTTTAAATTAGTGTCAAGAAGCATTCCCAGGTAACTCACTAATGAATTCCGCGTGCATCGCTAGAAAGTCAATGCTAAGTTAATTGTTTGATTGACTGAAACATGATAGAATAATAGAGAAGTCATCAGTACGAAATTTTTATAAAATAGATCTGAAATTTGCACTCATAAAGTTGCGGCAGAGAGTCAAAAACAAGCTTTTACTGAGAAATGAGCGTTGTGAAAATGTACAAATGAAGAGTGTTAAGAAGGAGGTATAGGAGCTAAGTTAATTTGAAGCTGTGTTAGACAGTTAAGACGGGGCGGGCGGGCTTGCTTGTCAAACCTAATAAAATTTTTATACTGAGCGTGAACTTTTAATTGAGGTCTATAAAGTGCTAGAATTCTGGGGTCTGTTTATTTTCAAATATCAGTTGTTGAAACTTTTGAACGGTTCAAGATGGGCAAAGAAATGACAATTTAAAAAGTTAAAAACTAAAGAAGAATTGAGGTAACCTTTAATCCAGATTTAAAGCTGTTTAATTTCAGCAATTTTCTACCATCTCACGTTCTTTTGTCTACAATGTTAGCAGTCTTTTATAACATCTCTTTTACCTGACTTTAGTATTGTAGAGCTCTTCTAAGTCCTAATTTATAAAAACATCGGCAAAATTTCCTGTTCTAATCAATGCTGCGAATAATTAAGTTGCTTGAATGAGTCCTTTTAGCTCCATAGGTGCTGCGAGTAATATCACTAAAATTCTCAATTTCCTTTCCAAGTTTGAAGGTTATGACACGTTGGGTATGAACGAACCAAACAGTGTTGTACAGCTTGTAAGTTTCAAACTGCTTTATATAGCATTGCTTCTCTTTAGTGAAAGAATTATTAGGAAGTCGGTCATAAGTGGTTTTGTTTGTTAACTCCTTACTCCTAAAGATGATGGTGTAGCAAATTGAAACTCATTGTCTATAGTTTTTGGCTTACTATAGCCACTGGAAGTGCAGGTTGATACCTATTTCTCAATAATAACTTTGGTGTAATTTATTGAATATTTAATTTTTATATGTACTTTTCATGGTTCACCTGCAATTAGTTGGTTCTTGATTTTCAATCATTGTCCTTCAGTGCATTTCTTAAAAATCACTGTTTCAGGACAAAAATTTATTTGAATGGGAAAAGTCCAACGATGTCGGATCATATATTTACAGAAATTGTTCCACTGCTCCCGAACGCACGCCTATTAAACTCATAAATCAAAAAAAGAAGAA